GACTGTTAAGTTTACTAAACGCCAAATACATTTAATTTTATTTGACGATTCGTTTAACTATCTCATGAAGTGATTACTTTTAGCAGCTTTTAATTTAATTGAATATTCTGCCTTTGTCAAATGAAGGACTGGCCTAAGACTACTATTTTGCTGACAGATCGTTTCTAAAAGTTTTAGCTGATGCCTTAAATTGTACAGTTCCTGCGTAAACCAATTCGAACGTGTGTACTTTTTTTAGGTTTACATTTAAGTAGTGGAGAATGGGACCGAAAATAATTTTGGATAGTATCATCCGCGTACAGGGCTGTTGAAGTTTTTGGATCTGTTTAGTAGATTTGAAAGAAAAATATTGTATAGCATGGCTGATAAAATACTGCACAAATACTGATTAAATAATAAGGAAGACCAGCTTACTCCATCTTGAAGATTAGTGCCTTTTTCCAGACCGTGTCATATGCTTTTTCTATGTCCAGTATGGCTAATCCTGTGCTTTGTTTTTTGTTGAACCTTATCTTCGTAGCGCTGATAATTCTTGCTAGCTGGAATTCGCAATTCCTTCCTTTTCTGAATCCGAATTGTCCTTCTTGGATGATTCTTCTTCTTTCTGCGTGTTTTATCAGTCTTTTGTAAATGATTTTTTCCAGGATTTTTCTTATTGTTTGGCTGACCTGAAAATCGCCCATTATTTAGCCAATAGTAAACTACGACTAGTCGCAGTCGCGCTCGAGGACAAAATGGGCAAAATAATAAAAGTAAATAGGTAGAAATCTGATTTGTACTATTTATTTACTCTGGCGAAAATATGTGGTACAAGGGTAATACCAGAGATACTTAAGTGTTAATATATTATTTTTTCTATCTTAGCGTTTAAACCTCCCGTACGGCTAGTCCACACTGTATAATATTTAGTTGTATATAATTATACCATTCATGTCAGTATGCAAATTCGTTAAAATCAGCGAAACAAATCAAAGAATACTTTTTTACATAGACATTAAATTTCCCATTGAGTGTTTTCCTGTACATCATAAAAATTATATCAATTTCGTGAGTTTGAGCGTTAAAAAAAATGTAAAAGGTCGTCATCAAATACCAATAAATCGACATCAAAATTGGATATAAACGCCAAGCTTCCATTGGCCATTCCTCAGTCTGAAGACAAGGTAACCATGACGATTAAAAGCATCAAATTTCTTGTGTTATTCTCAGTGATTCTTGTAATAGAGGCAGATTTTGATTATTGTTCGTTGTCATGTCTTCAAGGCAAATACCAACATACTGTTTGTATGAGAAAAAAAGAGGTATGTTTTTATTTTATTTTTTCATTATAAATATTTTGAATACATTAAAATGACTAGAGATATATTATGTCTTTTATTAGATATTTCGTTTCGTTTAGTGACACTTATAGTGTCATTAATGAAATACTTAATGAAATTTTAAGAGTTGTGTATAAAATACCATGCTCAAATTGTGACAAAATATATAGAATAAAATATGCGGAAGTAAAAAAAAATAACTATGACAATTAATATTGTTCTGAAGCTATTTTCTTGTGGCATTTTAAATTAATTACTGTTTAACTGGGAATAAATATAAATATTTATAAAAATACTTTGTTGCTTGTACCTAAACGTACTGTAATTTCTTAGTTATTCGTTAAGAAACTCTGCCACTAAATAATATATTATTTCAGATAGATATGCTTTTGTCAATCTACAGAACTTAATGAAAGAAGTTGTAGATTTAGCTTGAATTTCTGGTGGGCTAGTCATGATTAGGTCTTGCTGGAAAAACATGAAGGTGTTTAGGAATTACGCAAAAAGTTTCAATAATATATAAAGAGAGAAGAGTTAAAATTCCATGATTTTTGAAGTAGCTTCAGCGATGTGTTATTCTACTGATGCCAAAAAGATACCGTATTGCTCTTTTTTGTAATTCAAAAATAACATCAGATTGGGCAGCTGTGCTAGAACCCCAAAAAAGGAAGGCCATATCGAACATGAGACTCTAACAAAGAAAAGTGTGTTATTTTGTAAGATGCTAAATTGATTTCTTTCGAAACAGATCTTAATTACTATTTAACTGGGAATATTTCAAATAAATTGAACATTTCAACAACATTCAAAACAACAAACACGTTGAGATCTATTTTGTCCAAAACCAAACCTAACAATGAACAAGAAAGGACAAAGAATTGCATTTATAAAATAGCTTGTGAATGCGATCAGTTTTATTTAGGTGAAACATCAAGCCCATTAAATGTTAGAATAAGTGAACATCAATCTTATATTAAAAATAGAGAATTTGATAGATCTCAAATATGTAAACACGCATGGGATAATGAACATAGGGTTCAATGGAATGACTCAAATGTAGTCCTAAAAGAAACGGATGGTAAAAAAGAAAAATCAAAGAAGCGGCTCCAATTATGCTAAATGAGGCCAATTGTGTCGCAAATTCCTCGGCAGAATGTAGTAGGATCTGGTTACCAATATTGAAAGAGGAAGTTATTAATAAGAAAATACCAGTATTAGTAAGTCTGATATATATGATTCGTATATATATTGTTATAAAATAGTCTAAAATAGTCTATAAGTAGTAAATAATCTAATAGACTATTTTATAACAATTTGTGGGTCTTACCTTGTCTGTTTAAACTTTTAAAACTTTTTATACCTTTTTATTCAACTTACTCATTTTAAAATTAAAACCACAGACATGTAATATTGGCATAATTATTGTATTTACATCTAATTTGTTTATCTTTATTAGACAACACCCTAATATGGGTTTTTATCATTTCAGCATTTATTTAACTTTGTATCGAGACCTGAAGATGCTTTGCATATTATAGAAAGCGAAACCGGTCGTCTGATAGTTAAATTAAATTGATTGTGAGTAAGTCTTATTTATTTTTTGGGATGCAGTATGAATGTTGATTGAAGCCAATCTTTAGGTATTATATCTGTTTTATATATGGTATTGAATAGATCCAAAAGAAGATCAATAGATTCAGTATTCACAATTTTGAATAATTCGATAGGAACTTCATCAGGCCCGGGAGATTTACCACCTTTAGCTTGTTTCATTGCATATTCAATTTCTTCTCGCATAAAGTCAGGCCCAGTATCATCATCATCCTTAAATTCTTTTGATGCTTCTGTTCTCTCTTTGACTTCAAAAAGTTGTGCTATAAATTGTGTCCATCTCTGCATTTTTTTGGTTTATATCTGTTATAAGTGCACCACTTTCATCTCTAAGCGGAAAAAACACGTCATACATAGTGGCAAATCAGAGGTGATACAAATTGTTTTGGTTTCTTCACTTTGCTCTACCAAAGAAAATAAAAAACTCGATTCTGGTTTGAACTTCGTGTATGGTTGTTTCCACATAACGAGACCAGACTGGTCGTCATCTGAATCTAACGTATCTTCCTCTTCTTCTTCAGTATCTATCATTTCGAGATCTCTTTTAAAATATTCCTCCTGTGCAGTGTATAATATAAGTTTAAAAATTTTAAAATGTATATATATTTTTTTTAGCAATGTGGCAAAGGTCCAAAATGCCCCTCGAACTTTCGACAAGTAGCCCTTACTGACGAGATGAGAAGATTAATTCTAGATCACCACAATGCCCTCAGAAATAAAGTAGCTACTGGACAAGAAAAAATAGGAAATCAACCCCCAGCTTCGAATATGAGAGCTCTGGTAAGACTATCTTTGAGTTTCTTATTAACAGAAATATTTTTGTAATAGAAAGCAATAAAAGCTAGTTATACAAGGTGTTTCAAAAAGGCATGTCATAAATTAAATATCGCATTCCGGGGACAAAAATAAATTGATTGGATCCAACTTACCTTAGTACAAAAGTGTACACAAAAAAAGTTACAGCCCTTTAAAGTTACAAAATAAAAATTGTTTTTTGCATTAGCACCCAAACTACTTGACATTTTGTAATAAAAATGAACAAGTTACTTTCTTGTTCTGAAAGCATTTTTCATAAAAAAGAAACAACAGAATCTAAGCGCACAGCAAAAAATTTTAAGGGAGATTTGCTGCCCTAAATCCCCCCAAACTTTTGAACTGCGTTCAAATCAAATGAATTTTGTGGCTTTATTAGTTTAACACAATTTTAAAAAATTTTTGTCCCTTAATCATTTTTTCTTTTCAAAAAACAGTTTTATTGGGTTGCGGCTCTTTTCATTAACCTTTAAAAAATTACGTGCAACTAAATAAATGGTTTAAATGAATTAACAAGTACAAAAAATGTATATAACCTCTATAAATATGATATTACAATAAATGTTTAAAATGACCTCCATTTTCTTCAATACACATTCGATATCGTTTTAATAAGGAAAACCGAATGCGCTGAAAAATCATGCACCAAAATCATGAAAACCGAATGCGCTAAAAAAATTAAAAATCAATCTAATATAACTGAATTATTAAAAACGGCTGCCAGCAATAGTAGAAAGAAGAAAAAAGAAGAATTTAAGCTTTTAATTTTGTTTTAGAGTTGGAATAAAGAACTAGAATATATAGCACAATGTTGGACAAACAATTGTGAGTACAAACATGATGATTGCAGAAAAACTGGTAAGTAATTATTTTTGTTACCCTCTTCATCATGTTTTTTGCTTGTATTCGTATGCGGGATTGACTTATATCAATATTCTTCACAGGAATGTCCTGTCTAAACATTATGCCCAGATCCTTCCCATTCAGGTCTTATTTTGGCTTTCTTCTACTCCTTAACCCTCCAACATAATCTCTCACATGTGCATTACTTTCTGTTATAACTCTCTACCCTGTTTTTTTCTTCTCCTTCTTCATTCTTGCTTGTGTTTACTTATTCAATATTAACCTCCTAAATTGCTTAAATTATCACACCATCTTTTTTTGGCCTGCCAATACTTCTTCGTCCATTTGGTAACTTATCTCGTGCTATTCGTACTATCCTATCTTCTGTTATTCTACTAATTTGTTCGTTCCACTCCTGTTTCCGTTTTATTACCCATAATTTATGTCTTCTATATTTCATGCTCTTCCTATGTTTTCGCTTCTCTCCCTATCCAACCGACTTTTCTCTGATATTCGTCGAAGTTCCCGATGTTCGTAGTCATCTCGTTTTAGATGTATCAGGTCTTGTTTCCATAGGGTATTTTAATATAGGTTTTCTTCTTCTGGTTCCTATTCGTTTCGGATGTTGGAAATCATATTGGCAATCATAACCTTGCTCGCTGCGGCTCGAAACAGCTCCGCTGAGGTTTTCTTAAACCATGTTCTTAAATTCCGCAGCCATGATATTCTCCTTCTACCGGGTCCTCGCTTACCTTTGACTTTATCTTGCAATATAAACTGCAGCAGGGAATAACGGTGCTGATTTCTCATAACGTGTCCCAGATATTGCAATTTCATGCGTTTGATCGTAAACACAATCTCTGGTTCCTTCTTCATTTTTCCTAGAACTTCCTTGTTCGTTATCCTTGCTGTCCATGATTATTCTCAGCATTTTCTATAAAGCCACATCTCAAATGCTTCAAATTTTTAATAGTGGTGTCTGTAAGCGTCCATGCCTCCGCTCCGTACAACAACACAGAGAAAACATAGCATCTCAAATGTCTCATTTTTGTATCTAGGGATATGTTGTGATTTTTGAAGATGGCGCTCATTTTGTTAAAGACCGTTCTTGCCTTTCCTATGCGGCACTTTATTTCCTGTACATTGTTCCACTGTTCGTTTATAATAGCTCGCGCTCTATCTGCGTCCCATTAATGTATAGATGAGCCCCGTTTATATTCTCCTTGCTGATAATCATTTGTTTCGTTTTGTGGGTATTAATGTTTAGTCCGTACTGTTGACTGTACTCGTTTATTCTGTCCATTAGCCTCTCGAATAGACGAAGGATGCCTTCGTCTATTCCGTAAAGAGCCTCGTTAAAAATTTTCTCTGAGTACATATTAAATATCAACGGCGATATGATACATCCCTGTCTAACTCCACGTAATATTTTTATGTGATCTGTTTCTTCTCCGTTAATTTTCATGTATGCGGTCTGATTCCAGTAGAGTTCTCAAATTATTCTGAGGTCTTTGTCATCCAGGTCTGCCTCTTTTAAAATGTTTATCATCTTTTAATGTTGAACTCTGTCAAATGCCTTTTCATAGTCGATCAAGCACGCGTATACGTCGCAGTTAACGTCCCTGCATCTTTGGATCAGTACCTGTACTCCGAAAAGTGCCTCTCTGGTACCCACTGCGTTAATGAAGCCGAACTGTCTGTCCGATATTTGTTCCTCGCACTTCTTATAAATTTTTCCATGGATGACTCTAAGAAACAGTTTCAACATGTGGCTCATTACGCTGATTGTTCGATATTCTTCGCACTTTTTAGCCCCCTGTTTTTAGGTATCGCTATGAATTCTGATTCTAGCCATTTATCAGGGATGATTCCTGTATTGTATATTTTATTGAAGACAGCCGTGATCCAATTCATTCCTTCTTACTCCAAGAGTTTTAAAAATTCAGTTTCGATGTTATCAGGCTCTACAGCTTTCCTGCTTTTCATCCGTTTTATTGCTTCTTCTACCTCGGATTTAAGTATGTCCGGGCCCGTCATCCTCTCTGAAAATGGATGCCTATAAGCCGTTCTTTGATCTTGAAAAAGTGTCTCCAAATATATTCTCCATTTGTCTTTCATCTCTTGGGTGTCAATGATTAATTTTCCATTGGTGTCTATGAGTTATCATTTGTGTTCACTTTTTAAAAGTACCCGCTATTTCTTTTACCTTTTTGTGTACATTAAAATTGTCATGCTTGGCTTGTAGTCTTTCTATTTCTTTACATTTCTCTACAGCTTCTTTTTCTTTAGTTTCTCTTATTTTTCTTCTGATGTAAGCTTGCATTTTTTTATACTCATCTTTATTTCCTTTAATTATCCTTCTGCGTTCCATTAAGTGAAGGATTTCTGGAGTCATCCAAGATTTCTTCTTTGTTTCTTTGTTTGGTTTTAGCAGATTTTGTTTAGTTTTCTTAATTATTTTTTCGAATTGATTGATTTCTCGTTGGATTGGTTATTTTTCTTCTTTTAGTTGTTTAACTTGGTTGTTGATATATTCCCCCACTTGCTTTTTAACTTCCGAATGTTGCAGGGCTGTCATGTCGTAGTTAGGTTAGACTTTTTCTTTATTGTCTTCAGTCTCACATCCATGACTCCCACTAAAGGTATGTGGTCATATTCAATGTCCGCTCCTGGATATGTTTTGACAGATTTAAAACTGTTTCTGAATCTTCTCTTTACCAATATATAATCTATCTGGTTTCTAATTACGTTATGGGGTTTATCTGCTGGTGCCTTCCATGTATACAATCTCCTCTGTGGTAGTTTATAAAATGTGTTCAGAACCACTAGCTTGTTATCTTCTGCGAATATTTCTAGTCTGTCACCTCTTTCGTTTCTTTGTCCTAACCCAAAAGGTCTGATTAGAGACGTTTTCCGTTCGGCCCCAAGTTTTGCATTGAAATCCCCCATTATGATGTTGACTTCGTGTTTAGGTAGTAATATAGGTCTAATCGCTGCTTTATAGATTCTTGTGGTTGTGTCTTGTCTAGGTGTTTGTTCTTCCTGATAGTGTTATTAAGAGATCCCGCCGCTTTACTTGCTTTTAAGCTTTGTTGTGGTACTTCTTTTTCAACGTCTCCTTTTTTTATTACAATAATTATGATATCTTTTTAATAATTTTAACTTAATTTGTATCTTTACAGAAAAATGGGGAGCGGTAGGACAAAATCTAGCTATACAGGCTGGTTATAACTTTGGCCATAAAGATTTGGACGTAATCAAAAAATCAATTAATGCCTGGTACAGTGAAAGTAAAAATTTTAAATTCGTCAATATTGCCCAGATTTGAGTCAAAGTAAGTACATTTTCAAATAACCTTTGAAGATTAGGTTCCTGTTAAATCAGTAAATACATATCGTTCTGAAGCTATTTTCTTGTGGCATTTTAAATTAACTACTATTTAACTGGGAATAAGCCACAATTAAAGATAAAAATACGTTTATTGACGTTTCAATTTCCACTTCGGAAATCGTTCTCAAAATACAAACAGACTTAGTGGGATAAATAGGTCCGGAATTATTTTATACAAGGAGCACCAATGCTTTTCATATGCTGATGATATGGTTCTCATTGCGAGAAATGGAAAAGAACTATCAAATATAGCAAAAAGACTGAGTCGGGAAAGTTCTAAAATGATACTAAAAGTTAATATTAATAAATCGAAGTACATAAAAGGAATAAACACCAGGGGATCCTTTAAATTTGAGGTGGAGGATGGATCAATTGTAGAATTCGAGAAGGTAGATGAATATATGTACTTAGGTACTTTTATTGATTAGGCATGTAAGGAAGAAACTGAAATGAGCAAAATAATTAGGGCCAAAGATATATCTCGTAATACAAAACTATAATTAGACCCACAATGCTATACGCTGCCGAGGCATGGACTATGAACAAAACCATACAGAACACGTTGGAAGCATGGAAAAGAAAGATACTACGCAGAATATTTGGTGGAAAAGTAGTAGAGGGAGAATAGAGAAGATGAACTAATGCAGAAGTGTACCATTTGTATGCTAGCTCTACAATAACAAAAGTGGTGAAAAACAGTAGACTAGAATGGCTCGGTCATCTAGAAAAAATGCAAGTTAATAGACTAATCAAGAATATTGCTTGGAGAGTACCTGAGAGCAAAAAAAGAGAGGAAGACCAAGAAAGAAATTGAGAGATGTAGTGATGGAAGATGTCAGAGAGATGGGAATCACAGATTGGAAGCTGTTAGCTAAGAATAGAAAAGATGGAAATTATCCATCCAGCAATGGGCCTAAAAGGCCTGTTAACGCTGTACATACAAATTACAGTTAATAAAAACATTTCAGGTAGTTGTTTCAGATATTGATTTAAACGTATTATGTAAAGATTTTTTTATACTATTTTCTGTAGTGGCACTTTAAATAATTTTTCTTTATCTGAGTCGTAACCTCATTCTACCCGGAAATCTTGGAAATTTTAAGGACGAATAGAGGAAATAATTTTCCCACAGGAGATTATAAAAAATAATAGATAAATAATGGTTTCTATCTAGCAACTACAATTTTACCTCTAAAGATATAAAATGATATAAAATTTGATAAATTATCCCCGGTTAGTACGGCGTTGGTTTTTCCAATTGAAATGCACAAAAGATAATAAATTATTATCGTCTGAACCACTTTAAAACGTTTAAAATTCTCGGTCTAAATTATCATAGAAACTTATTAATTAAACTATTTTTAATTCTATTATTCAATGAAACCTAAGAAGATCTTAAAATTCTTTTATTATCGTCTAAACCACGTTTAAAATTCTCGGTCTAAATTATCATAGAAACTTATGCTTTTTATACGGATCTGCCACAAATAGTCGTCTTAAAAAACTAGACCGCCTTCAGTATAATGCTCTGCGATTAGTTTTAGGGGCGCTCAAATCTACAACTACAGATAATCTTCTAGCCGAATCTATGGAACCTCCCTTACATTTAAGACGACTATTTTTAGCTGAAAAATTTATTCTCAAATGCCAGTCTTACAATCAAACTGAGCTTCTACAAAAAATATGTGATATTTCTGTTTCTAATCTAGTCGACAAATGGTGGCATAACATAAATTCTCCTATTCTGGCAGTGGCATATCCTAACGTTTCTCAGCGTCTAAACACTCCGTGTGACTTAACTTTCTTTCAATCGAATTTCAGTGTTTCTTATGCTAAAGTCAATGTTTGGTTTCCCAATTTTGACAATGAGAATACAGTTGATTTTCAGCATCAGATAACCAAGCTTAATAATCCATGCAGGATCTTCACGGATGCTTCTAAATCAAGATTGGGAGTCGGATGTGCTGTATATATTCCGGATCACAAAGAATCCCTAATGTTCAAGTTAGATAAACAATGTTCTATATACTCTGCAGAAATGTTCGCAATTTATAAATCTCTAGAATGGGCTGTCAACAAAAAATTTCTAACCACCATGTTGTAATTATGTCAGATTCAATGTCTGCGTTATTAGCTTTAGAAAACTCAAGTAAACATTTATATAAAAATAGTGTTGTCGTTAAAATTTTAGAAAACCAACTTAAGCTGCTGGAAGAACATACTACTGTAAATTTCGACTGGGTAAATGGACACTTTGGTATTTCCGGTAACCTCAAAGCAGATTTTTATGCTAAAGGGGCAATCTTAAAAGGATCGGAAATAACTTGGCTAGATAGAAGCGATCTAACAGCCACTTGAAAGAGGAGTCTAAAACAAAATTGGGAAATTGAATGATTTGCTTTCTGTAATCGAAGCAATAATCTTTATACAAAAATTCATCCAGTTTTATCTACTGAGCCGTTTGCCGTAAGAAGTTACCCCAATAGAAATATGTATTCCATGTTTGTTATATGCCTCTTTAACCATGCCACTGTCAAGACATACCTCTAAAGACTAAATCTATCTGAATCAGAACTTTGTGATTGCAATGGTTATGCTGATGATATTAATCATTGGTTGTTTGGATGCAAGTCAAGCATAATGATGATGCAATTAAATATTTTATGCACACTCTGGCTCAAGAACAAATACCTTTACTACAAAACCAAACTTCTCTTTTATACTTGTTTCCGAAACTATAAAATACAACAAATTATTTGGGAATTTTTAAAAAGGACTAAGAGAAAAATCTAACTTGTATGAATGAGTCAACTTGAATGTGTTTAGCAATTATTGTTTCTCATATTTATTTTTATGTAATATTAAGTACCTCCCTGTAAAATACGAATATTGAACAATTGCATAATAAAAATTAAAAAATATATATGTATATAAAAAGAAAAAAAAAACAGAGAAAAAAGAAAAAAAAAATAAGAAACAAATAATTTATATAAATAAAATAATATATATATATATATATATATATATATATATATATATATATAAATAAAAATCATAAAAATTTTTTTTTAAACAATCACAAAGAAGGCCTAAACCTCCGAGGTGTTGAACCGGGTTTATGTCTTAGCGCTGTGACAATTATTAATTATTAGCATTTAGTATTAGCATTTAGTATTATTTGTATATTTCTTATTATTGTAAATTAATTTAAGTTGGTTAGGGTCCTGAATGAAGAGTTTAAATAGAGGTCAATTTAATGTTTCCACCTCCTTTTTGTATTTTTTTTTATTTTTATTTAACAATACCTATATATGTATGTGCGTGCATAAGTGTGTATATGTGCGCATGTGTATATAGTATTTAATATTGTAGCAAACAGTATTTATTATAATTATAGTGGCTGAATGGATCAATAATCCAAAGCCATTAAAAAAAACTATTTTTAATTCTACTATTCAATGAAACCTAAATGGGTACAATACCCATTTAGAAGATCTTAAAATTCTTATAAATAAATTGCATCCATCCATCCCAGGTTTGCAAGAAATACATAATCAAAGAAAATTCGTGTCACAATCTTAAAAACTTCATGTCCAGACTACGATTAGGACACACCAAGATCACACATGATTTCCTATTAGAGAAGAAGCCCAAACCTTTGTGTTACGCATGTGATAGTGATCTAATAGTTGTAACGATATTTTGCTTACCTCAAGATAAGAACATTGGGGACAGAAACTAAGAGGTTAAGAAGGAGCAAACCAAATAATCGAAACTGATGCCTACGGCACTCATGGGGCTGTTGGAGAACTGGGTCGTGGATAAGTTGAATCAAAGGGGGTCGGATTGGGGTATCTACAAAATGAAAACAAAGGGATACTTACATAAATCTCCTGAGTCAAAAACAAATAAGATATGGCAGATAAAATTTACCTCTAGCTATTTTTATTCGGACGCCGCTTCGAAGAAAACTTCCTGCTGGGAGATAGAAAATTTCTTCTTCCCTAAAATCAAGACTACATACAAGGGTTAGGAGACTTTTCTAAATTAAAATTTAAAAAAATGGATCAGAGAAATAAAGCAAACGTTTATTTTTGTCTCAATCAAACAGTTATCAAAAATAAAGATTAGATCAAAAATACAAGATAGAATATTATGATTGAGGATATCCTTGTTTATGAAAATATCTTAAAATTTAACCTTATATATGAAATATCTTTTCTATATAATAATCAAATCAAAATTGTTTTACAACAACAGCAGATTTAAGCCAAAATGTCATATGTCAACATAACATTTTAAGACAGAATAAATTATGACATTTTTTGGCCACGCCTCTAACATAATATATAAAATTTTAAATATTACAAATTCTTTTAATGAAAGCAATTATTAAAAATGTCTATATAACTTGGAAAAATTAATATATTAAATGTTACCTTAATTCACAAACTTTGCCACTTACCTTGAAAAACTTGCTACTATCTCTGGGATTGGAGCTGCAAGGACAAAACTCTCAACTGGAACAAAAGGAAAGCATTTCCATACTCATTAACGAACGATCAAGAAATGTAAATCAGGTTTGGTGGTGAAGCAAACGGACGACAAACACAACAAAGCCGGTGGGACAACCTATATGTTGCTTTTCAAAATTCCATCAGTTTCCGGTATACTACATAAATCTTTCGATGTATACTCTCTTCTAAACTGCATTATGCAAAGAGTATTATCATATTACCTTAACCGGTCTTAAGACATTACACACAAAAAAGATGAATCGACTGTTGATTCAAAGTCGCCCAAACATATTTCTCGTCTCAAATCTCTTGCTTCACTCCCGTTCAAATGATCTAGCTTGACTGACTCTGCGTTCGGTTTTAAAAATCAACGCAGGACCTTTCCCCTCTTGTCTCACAGCTAGTTTGTGGTCTACGACTCTAAACAAACAATCTTCTTGACCTCGTTCTAGACGACGAACGATAACAAAACATATTGAAATATTTATTTTTAAATCGGTAAAACAAATCGTTTTCACGACAAAAACAATTATATTTTGCCCTATCTGGTCAAAAAAACTTGAAATATTCTACTTTTAAATAGTTAGAAATAACACGCATTTTATTGATTAGTTTAAACGTCCTGGTTTAATAGATTTAACCGGAATAATTTTCTACCTGACAATTTTCTCAGAGTCCAAGATTCACATCCGTAGGTCAGTATTGGGAATATTAAGCAGTTGATCAACCTCATCTTTATCGCTCTTTAAATTTAACAGTCCTTCCATATTTTGGTCATTTTTGCTGTGGCAACTTTTGCTAGATCACATCTACGTTTAATCTCTTCTTGTAATGACCCTGTATTTGTGATTAATGATGCCAGATATAAGTATGAGCTCACAACCTCGAACCGGTCCATTGTGGTTATGTGTGGATGATTGTTGTGTAGTATATCCACTATCATGATCTTTGTCTTTGATATGTTTAATTGCAGACTAAATATTTGACTTTCGTTTTAGATCAGTCGTTTAAGTTCCATCAGCTCTGCTTGACTATTTGCAAGAAGGGCTGTGTCATCTGCGAAACGTAGGTTGTTTAGTTTATGACCATTTATTGAGATGCCCTTTTCCATCCTGCAAGTGCTCTTCGCATAATATACTTCCCATATATGTTGAATAATTGTAGAGATAGTATACATCCTTGTCTGACACCCCGTTCTGGATGAAACTCATTCGAAAGTGTGTCAAGTACTTTAACTGATCCAGTAGTGTGTTCATATAGTTCAGTTATAAGCGTAATTAGATGTTGTTGTACGCCTACTTCTTTTAGTATTCGCCATAAGTGTCTCCACTTGACCCTGTCGAACTCTTTACGGTAATCTATAAAACAGATGTTTAGTGGGATGTTGAATTCCCTAGATTTCTCGATTATCTGTCTTATATTCAGCAGGTGTTCTCGAGTGCATCTACCTTTGGTAAATCCAGTTTGCTCTTGTGGAATTTCTCTTTGAAGGAATGTTTTCATTCCTGACAATGTAATGTAACAAGCCTGACAAACCTGACAATGTAACAGAGACAAAAACATCTATATTTTGAAACAACTGAATACAAAACTTAAAACAGAATTTATACTATTATACAGATATTAAATATAAAACGCTACACAGTACATCACTTATTAGTGGAGTGTCCGTTGTACGCGTTTGAAAGACAACATGAATAGTTACCCACAACAATAAAAGACATTGTATGTGAACATAGTGACTGTACATATTGCTGTAATAAATAAATCCCTTATAATACATTTAATTCAAGATTACCGTTTTATTTTAGGGTAAAGTAATCCAACACTACACTCAATTAGTATGGGCTAAAACAGATCACGTTGGATGTGCTTTAACGTTCTACAAAAATAGCACCCAGTGGAACTTCCATTTGATGGCTTGCAATTACGCACCTATGGGCAATTACAAATATTTCTCAGTCTATAACCAAGGTACGCCTGCATCAGATTGTGGAAAATTGCCAGTAAATAAAAAATACCCCGGATTATGTGGACCTGATAATCTTTAAACAATCAATTAAGTAGAGTATTTTTTATGTAAAATTAATAAAATAACAAATAAAAATTGGTTTTCTTATATATTTACATTACAAAAACCTTTATATAGATAAATATTGAAACTTTATATAGATTTAATATTAAGTTATATGCGATTTTTAAATGGTTGATGCCACAGTTTTTATAATAAACAAAAAATATATCAAGCCGAAACAACTTCGAAGAAATGGAACCTATAAGGTAGATAGATAATTGGTAAGAAGAACAAAAAATGAACACTGGGAACAGTTTACAAAAAAAAAGAATGGAAAGCGACTTCTACTATACACAAAAACAAATATGGAGATTCATAAGAAACCAACGGAAAGGAATGGCAGAATTGAAGGAATACAATAATATACCAGCAAACCAATGGGAAATATACCTGACGGAACTGTTTAAAGCAAAGGAAAATAATAATCAACACAATAACGTACCTGAATTAGGACACGAAATAGAAATCAGTTTTCAGGAAGTAAAAATAGCCATAAATTCACTCAAAAATAAGAAAGTCACCAGGACCAGACGGAATAACCAACGATCTTCTAAAATGCGGAGGAGAAAGTATAACCCTAGAGATGACAAAACTTATACAAACCTAATATTACACTGCAAGATACCAAACGCATGGAGAAGCAGCATAATGATACCAATGTTCAAGAAAGGAGATAAAAAAGACCACAACAATTATAGAGGTATAAATCTACTGAACACTGCACTTAAGCTACCATAAAAGTCCTAACCAACAAAATAAATAAACTAACAACTCTATTAGATGAACAACAAGGATTCAGATCCGGAAAATCCTGTGTAGATGTCGTATTTGTACTAAGACAAATTACAGAAAAGACCATCGAGTACAATAAACCAATATATCTATGTTTTATAGACATGACAAAGGCTTTCGATCGCATCCAAGTCTTACACCTACTGTATAAAAGAAACATATTAATCAATATTATACAAACCATCGAAAACATCTACCTCCATAATCGAATACGGGCAAAGATAAATGGAAAACTAACACCAGTGTATACGAATACAAAGCGGAGTCAGACAGGGTGACGTTTCTCTTTAATATAATAATGGATAAAATATTACAAGCAGTACGTAGAGGTCATGCTTACAGAATGGGGAACAAAGAAATCCAAATATTATGTTACGCAGACGACGCCGCATTAATTGCCGAGACAGCAAACGAGCTCCAAAGATTACCACATATCTTCAATACAACAGTTAGAAATACAATATGATAATATCAGCAGAAAAAACCAAATGTATGACAACATTACACCCACTACGGTGTAAAATCGAAATTGATGGGAAAATAATAAAGCAGGAACCAAGGTTTAGATATCTGGGAATAGATATAACTAGTTACGGAGATGTTGAAGAAGAAGTACGACAACAAAGCTTAAAATCAAGTAAAGGGGCAGGTTTTCTAAATGACACAATCTGGAAGAACAAACAGCTAAGACAAGACACAAAAACAAGAATCTATAAAGCAGCAATTAGACCTATATTAACATACACGGCGGAGACAAGACCTGACACATCTAAACCGAGACGACTGCTAGAAACAACAGAGATGAAAACACTCCAACGAATATCAGGTAGAAGTCTGTTGGATAGGGAGAGAAGCGAAAAGATAAGAAGAGCATGCAATATAGAAGACATAAATGAATAGGTGAAAAAACGAAAACAGGAGTGGAACGAACACATTAGTAGAATGGCAGAGGTAGGAATAGTACGAATAGCACGAAATAAGTAACCAAATGCACGAAGAAATATTGGCAGACCAAGAAAAAGATGGTGCGGCAATTTAAACAATTTAGGAGGCTAATATTGAAGAAGAAACAGGCTTTAAAGCCTACATACTAGAAGGAAGAAGAAGAAGAAGGAATCTATAAGCATAAAAGAACCTAAAATAGGATTACAATTTGAACAGAATTTTAATAAAAATATATCCAACCTTATGAGTAAATCTGGTAACATAAACGAAAGGTGGCAAGAAGAAAAAATCCAAATAAACGAAGCAAGAAGCAAAGGAATATTTTTCTTTTTTTTTGCACTACCTTGGCCTCCTCCAAACTATGCTTCAAATATAGCTGGTACTTTCTTGCAAGATCTAACGTTTAGCAAAGTTTGCACGTCTACTGTCAGTTCATCTCCCTATCTTTTCCGTGACCTTTATTTTGGTCTTGCCTCCTTCATTTTACTATGTATGGCTCTTTTCGGTAATCTATTAGCCTCCATTCTTAATACATTAAAGTCTCTAAAGTTTGAGACAAATTCGATTGACGCAAAGTAATAGGGAAGAAAAAACCATGTTTCTATCGTTGGTGTATATCTTCTATGAATAGGTATAATAAAAAATACAACATTGGATTGTACAAGTATATTTGTTACAATATCGGACGTTCAGACATTACACACATGCTAACCTAACCTAACCATTAAAAAACATTAAGACGACCATCAACGGAAGATACTGTATAGAACAAATCATAGAGAAAAACCTAAGTCTCAAATGCACCAAATCGAAACTAGGAAAGAAAAACATAATAACCATTAAAAATTAACAAAGACAACTAGAAAAAAGTAAATCTGATATAGCAAACTCAATTGAAAAGTTCTACGCCGAACCTAACCTAACCTAACAAATATCAACTCAGAAGTGATGCCCGAAATAAGCCACGAATAAATAGAAAGAGAAGTAAAAGAAATAAAAAGGAATAAAGCTCCTGGAATCGATGGAATCCTAGCAGAAATACTGAAGAAAGGCGGAGAAGAAGCCATCACATATCTAAAAATATAATAATAGTCTCCCGTTTTATACCGCACGCGGCTTTGGGAGTATAGCAGGGTAGTCTGCTATATCTAGGGCCTACGGTATACAAGGAAGGTAACATGGCCAGTGCTACGCTTCAACCGCCTATTATTACCCCTGGTTTTACCCAAGGTACTCATTTTATTCAGGCTGAGTCGACCTGGGGCCTATAGACATTTTTAAAAATGCCTAGTTGTTCTTGCCGGCGGTAGGATTCGAACTCACGACCACCGGCATGCGAGGCAAGCAATATCTAAAAATATTATTTAATAAATGTCTATTCGAAGGCAACATACCCGAACAATGGAATACTGCTAAAACAATAGTAATACACAAAAAGGGAGAGACCACAGACCTGAAAAATTATCGACCAATTCCATTTCTTTCACAATGTTACAAAACCTTTACAAAGATTATTACAAACAGGTTAACAATTAAATTTAATAAATCTATATCCTATAAAAATCCTAATAGAAGAGACTAACGAATAAAATCTCCCATTATGTCTGGCTTTTATAGATTATGAAAAAGCTTTTGGTAGCGTAAAACTGTGGGCAATAGAAGAAACATTAGTCAACAACCGGATCGACTCCAGGTACAGAATATTAATACATAATATTTACGAACAAGCTAAAATGATAGTGAAGTTGGGTAATGGAATCGAAACAAGACCATTAAAAATCAACCGAGGCGTAGGACAAGCAGACACAATATCTCCAAAATTATTAACAGCTGCCCTAGAAGATATCTTTAAGTCAATAGACTGGGAAAATTAGGGAATCCCTATACTTGAACCATCTTAGATATGCAGATGATGTAGTACTAATAGCTGACACGTGGAATGCACTGAATACGATGATTGAGAAGCTACACACAGAATCCCTAAAAAAAGGATTGAAAATGAATTTCAGCAAAACTAAAATAATGTCAAACAAAGATGACAACAGTACAGAATACAAAAACAAACTGCCTAAATAGAATCAATATTTTAAAAACTCTAGCTCGCCATCAATGGGGGGCAGAAGTGAAAGTCCTCTTAAGAATTTATAGAACGTTGATCCGCTCTAGGTTGGATTACGGAAGCATTCTCTACATATCTGCTTCCAATAATCACCTTTAATATCTGAATACAATTCACAAACACTTCTTTACGCATTAGCCTCAGCGCCTTTAAATAAGTCCTTCTGAAAGTCTTTATATCGAATCTTCAGAACCTCCACTTTTTATAAGACAGCAACGTCTACTTCTGTCTTACTTCTCTAGAATTTCTGCTAATCCAATAAACCCAGTAATTAAACTAATTAATACCCCCTACCCTGTTCCAGATAATAGTCACCCTCGAGCACATTCTCTCTCACAAATTTTAAAAACTTTACCAAAGGATACAGACCTAAAACTCACAACTCCGTTTGCTACGTCCAGCAAAAAGCTACCTACTGTCCTTACCAGCTTGAACCAATACAAAAAAGAAGAAATGCCCAGAACTCTCTTGGTACAAGCATTTGAGGAATTTATACAGACATAGCTTTATGAAAAAATTCTCTACACAGATGCCTGCAAAGAAGTACAGGCCGTCTGTTGTGCCGTCAGTACCTCAAACACAATAGTAGTGTCACATTGGCTTTCTCCCAGATGCAGTATATACACAGCCGAACTGTATGGAATACTCAAGGCATTAGACTCGCCCATTGCTATTGAGAAATCATTAGCAATATGCACCGACTCTCTCTCTCTCCGCCATTGACTCAATCAGAAATATATACTCCATACATCCCATTGTACAGTGCATCCACAGTATCTGTCAACAACAGTCAAAAAATGGTGTTTCAGTAACTATTATCTGGATACCATTCCATGTTGGTATCAATGGAAATGAGAACGCTGATCATGCAGCAAAACTGGCTTACTCCACCAAGACCTAAAGGCCAATATCAAGAACAACGTTCTAAGCACTCGGCAAACACACTGGAACATGCAAAATACAAAACTACGCACGATTGAACCAAAAATTACCTCCATCATAATGCCTCAAATGAGCAGAAAAGACAATATCATTATCAGAAGGTTCAGAATAGGTCACACTCGTCTTACTTATGGATATCTGATGTCTTCTGAAATTCATCGTCGCTGTGAACTTTGTAATGAGTCCGTAACAGTCCAGCACTTTCAACTTTCAACACTACTACAACTTTCAAAATACATGATTTAAGTGATCTTCTCAGTTCTACAAACATGTACAGTGCCATAATTGGTTTCCTAAAAGACTGTCACCTTTGCTACTTAGTGTAATTATATAAAGATGTTGTTAAGGTATCCTAACTTGTATATAATTGTATTGTAATAAACTTTGTACCAGTATCAATGGCCCATAATTACCGAGACACTTTAACCCTGAACTACTATCGTGGGGTCAAATTTGACCCCAGGACTTGAAATTTCGTGCGCCACTGGTAGACAGTTTGGCGAATGACCTTGGTATTCTATGTATTCTCCCAATTAAGTACGTAGTTTAGCATGCCGCTTAGTAGCAAACGATCAGTGGGATAATGCACACGTGCTGCTGAGTTCCGGTCGGATTTGACCCCATCATAGTAGTTACGGTATTATTATTTAAGATAATACATTAAAATGGCTTTAAGAATTAGCGGAAGTACGGTGACAAGTGAAAATGTTTTTGACTTTCTCGAATCTCTGGAGGAACCAACCGAAAATATTGACACTTATAGTGACTCTAATAACAGTGATACTGACACTGAAAGTGAACATTCGGTTCACGACACAGATTCAGAAATTGACGTGACTTATCAAGCGACGAATGTGAAACATCATGTAATAATGAATCAAATTTTTACTAAGGACGGAACAGATATAAGTGGGCTAAAAATGCTCCGGCCCCATCAAAAATTCGCGCACAGAACATTATTACAAACCTTCCTGGTCTTCGTGGACCTGCCTTAGAAACAAAACCATCCAGTCCACTTGAATCCTGGTCACTTCTTATAACTCCTGACATGTTGGCCTCTATTCTAGAGTACACAAATGAAAAAATTACCGAGCTCAGTGTAAATTATGGGGATACATGTACATTTGTCGATCATCTAAACGAAGGTGAACTTAAGGCTTTTTTGGGTCTTTTTTCGTGTTACAATGTCAAAAGAACACTTCTTATTTCTTCTCACAGCAATAAGATTTGACAATCATGAAATAAAAGAGCAAAAGAAGGCCAATGGAGATCGACTTCAGCAGTGTCCTATTTATTTAAATGTTTCGTATCTAACAGTACAGCAAACTACACCTGTTCCGAATATGTTACAGTGGACGAGATATTGGTTGGGTTTAGAGGTAGATGCTCTTTCAGAGTGTACATGAAAGCCAAACCAGTCAAGTACGGCATCAAGATCATGTGTTTATGTGACGCAAAAACACATTATTTGGTAAATGCTTTTATGTATACGGGTAAAACAAATGATCCTAATGCCCAAAAGCTATCCATACCTACAAGATCAGTACTTGCTTTAGTGGAACCAACTGCCAATAGTAACCGAAATGTCACTGGTGATAATTGGTTCACCTCAATAGAGCTAGTTGATGAACTAAAATAACTTCGACTTACCTATGTAGGTACAATGCGTAAAAATAAGAGAGAAATTCCTCCACAATTTCTACCAAATAAAAATTACGAAGTTGATAAGTGTTTATTTGGTTTTACACGAGACAATACAATCGTATCATATGTCCCTAAAAAAAATAAAAGTGTAATTATGTTGTCGTCTATGCATCACGACAAATCTGGTGACCAGGAAAGCAAAAAACCTGATATAATAGCTTTCTACAATTCGTCGAAAGGGGGCGTTGATGCACTTGATCAAAAATGTGCACTTTATCGTTCAGGTCGAAGATGCCAGCGATGGCCTTTAGTGATTTGGTATTCCATAATGGATATTGCTATAGTAAACAGTCACATTATTTTTCACGCAGCTAATCCTGGGGTTAGAAAAAATCGATCGGATTTTATTCAAGAGTTGGGAATCAGTCTTATAAATGAACATTTAGAAGTAAGATTTGCAATGCCCAATTTGTCAAGAGAATTGCGCTCGATAATTTCCAAAGCATTAGAAAATAAAATTACTCATCAAGATCAGACCAAACCAGAAAGGCTAGTTGTAAGACGTAGATGCTACTTGTGTCAAAGAGGAAAGGGTAACAAACATTCCACATTTTGCGCAGAATGTCATAGGACCATCTGCAAAACACATTCACTTTAGAGAGTTACCTGTACTATGTGCAAAGAATAGATAGACACTTACAATTTGTTCAAATATTTTTGTCGCAAGATTGTAACATTACGAAAAAAAACATGACTGTTATTTTTTTATATGATTACTCTGTTATGATTTTCTTTTGTATTAGGTTAAGACGTTACTATTATAAACTACTTTTCAGAAAATGAACCGTTAATTGCAATTTAAGATATATTTTTTTTTTTGTTATAATAATGAGTTATGTTTTTGATCAAAATTTATTTTAAAAGTTCTATAATTTTTAATATAGCATCTTAATTTTCTTGAAATAAAATTTAATCTTACAAAAAATCTCTTTTTTATATACACATTCATTTGTCAAAAATACAAAAACAATAAAAAATATATTTTTATATCTTGTTTAGAGGTTTTTAAAATTCGGGTCATCTATGACCCCACGATAGTAGTTATGTGGGTGTAAATGCACGATAGTAGCTCAGGGTTAAAATAAAAAAAAATCCGAATTGTACGAATTAATAAATTTGTGCAAAGAGCCAATGGACCGAGTATACGCATTGATACAATAATATTGTAATTGTTAAAATACCGATTATTCATATACCACATAAACGCTGACTGTATAAAATTCCCTATCTAACAAAAATATCGCTAATGTGGTAAAGGTGACCATGTTTTGTTGATAGGAACAAGTAATTAAAAAGCTGTACTGTTTTTTAACTGCTGATAAGTTGATACCTGGACTGTCTTATAAAAGGTACAGTTCCGTTTGTAATTGCACATTTCGCAGATAGACACCAATCATCATGATGATTCACTGTATTCGATTGTTTGTATTGTTTTTTGTGTTTTATGTAGTAAAGGGCAATAACGATTATTGTTCGTTAAGATGTGGTCGTGATGAACATACTGTTTGCCGTAGAAGAAATGTGGTAAGTATTTTATTTATTTTGTTTGAGCCTATTTCAAGGTAATTTTGGTCGAAACATAATATTACGTTTAGCTGTAGAATTTTTATCAATCAAATATTTTTTGCGTTGATGGAAACCATAGTTTGATTCATTTTTTTGTATTTAATTTGGATTTGCAGGACATGATTACCAAGGACGTCTTTTTATCTGAATTTTTAAATAACGAGCAATTTGCAAATTATTATATAAAAAAATGACGACCATTTATTCATTGTTTTCTATTCTTTTGGTGCATCAATGAATTTACATGCCAGTGGAAATAATATGTGGGTTGAGTTTATCGAAAGTGCAAGCTGATATGTCAAACATGGAACAAAAAATTTTGGTATAGCAGAGTTGGCATGTTTTTATATGTTTTATATGTTTTAAAAAATATTGCTTCAATATTGTTGCTATATGCTTCAAATATAAAAAGATAAAGCTTTAGAAAAGTACATTTTGTTTATATTATGTTATGAATTCTGCAATGTTTGATTTATGTAAAACAAGAATGAGTAAATATTTGCTTCTTTGGAGATTAATTGCAGTTAATTATCAATCAGATTCTTTTTTAGCAATTACCCTTTGATAGATTAGAACACTTCCATTAGTCATGGCTTATTCCTACTAATGATGGCTACATCGTCTGCATATGCAGTAATTTGTACTGATTTGGTGTTTATACGGTCGGTTATATTGGTTTTTCTGATGACTGCCTCAAGAACTAGGTTGAATATCATGGTTGAGAGGGCATCTCCCTGTCTTACTCCCATGTTGATGTTAAACAGGGGAGTCAGTTCTCCATCTACTCTGACTGCGGCTTTTGAACCCTGCAACGTCATTTTTATGAGGCTGATGTATTTCTTAGGTATACCTAGATTACAAAGGTCTTCCAGCATTCTGTCTCTTTTCACATTATCAAAAGCTTGTTATATACATATTATATAGGTCTATGTCGTATTCATAAGCTTTTTCTTGTATCGTTCTTAGTATGAATATGTTATCTGTACTGGCTCTATTTGGTCTGAATCCATTTTGATAATCACCAATTATATTTTCGGAGTATTCTAATAATCTATTGTAGATTATACCAGAAAGAATTTTGTATATTACATTTAGCAATGTAATTGGCCTATAATTCTGGCATTCCCTCTTATCTCCTTTTTTATATATTGGCTGTATGAGGCCAACTGTCCATTCCTCTGGCATTTGCTCATTCGCCCATATTAATGTTATTAGGTAATGGATTCTTTCCCAGAGTTCGGATCCTCCATGCTTTAATAATTCTGCCGAAATTCCGTCCGTTCCTGGTGCTTTATTGTTTTTTTAGTTTATTTATTATCTAAACTACTTCTTCATAACTCGGATTTTCGATGTGCATCTCCGCCGTATAATATATTGTCTCGTTATGATCATTTTCGTTGTCTGCATTTAGATTTTCTTCGAAATATTGTTTCCATCTCATTATAATTTTTTGCTTCTCTGTTAGTAGTTCTCCTTCCTTGTCTTTGCACATCGTTAGTTTTGGTTTAAATGACTGTGTGCTTTCTTTTATGCATTTATAGAATTTTCTGCTGTCGCGTCTGTTGTTATGCTTTACGATTTCTTGTAGGTACTTATTTTTTCATAGCCTCTCTTTTCTTTCTTCTGCATATTCTAGTCGGTTGTATTCTTTTTTCGTTATAAATCTCACTGCTATTTCTTGTATTTCTTTGAAGTTGGTTAAGCCTAGCTTGCCTTTTTTCCTCTACTGCAGTTCTGCATTCATCATCGTACCATTCCGCATTTCTTTGCCTTTTGGCTTTTCCGACAGTTTCCTTTGCTGACTCCGTTATAATAGTTTTTAATTCTCTCCACTCCTCCTCTGCAGTATCTTCCTCTCTAGTTTGGGTGAGATTTATCTAGAGAGTATTTCTGTAATCTTGTCTCTTTGTTGCGCTTTTGAATTCTTCGACATTCCATTTTTTGATTTGAATATTTTTCCCTTTTGCTACTGTCGCTATTTTCTGCCGTAATTTTGCTCCTACAAAATAGTGATCAGCTTGTACCTTCGGTAAACTCAACCAATATGTGCATTGTGTAGCCCAGTCAAATATTTTTATAAGCTTTAAACATTGATTAAAATGTAAAAATTACCAAAAAATGAGTTTCTTACCAAAAAAGCTCGGGAATCTGCTTTAAACACCAACAGATTTAAATCTTGTGTTTCCAATGATTGGCCACATAGATGGTCCTGTCATTCGCTAAGAATAGATCTTCTTCTCTGCAGGTCTCTCTCATCTCTGTGCATGTTGGTAGATGGTGGCTATTCTGAACCGCGCCACAGTCACAGATATCGTCCTTCTGGTATTATCATTTCTTCAGGTTACTAGCACAACGTGAAATGCCAGTTCTTAGTCTGTTTAGCGCTTTCCATGTGGGATACGGTAAATTGTGTCCAGCGGTTATTTCCTCTGAGGAAGCAAAAAGTTTTGTAGCTGACGCTTGCCATAGGTGTATTCGGCGCGTCTTTGGCTCTTCGGAAATGGATCGTGATTTTTTCAAAAAGCTTTTTCGAGATCTTAATCTACGTAGCTGAACTTGATGGTCATACAAAGTGTCAAAGGTGTCTTGATCCGTCACCTGCTTCTTTCGTTCTATCTCTGATGTGACCTGCCTTCTGATGATAGCAGGTGGTGCGATTCCAACTATAGGGTAGACATATTCGATAGGGTCGGTTTCAGACAACCAGATATTATACGAACCGTTTCATTTAACGCAACACCGACGTTTTTAGCGTGAACAGAGTTTTCCCACACTGGTGCTCCAAACTCGGCGGCAGAAAAACATAATCCTAGGGCAGAAGTACGGAGAGTGTGTGGTTGTGCTCCCCATTTTGTGTGTTAGTTTGCGGATGATATTATTTCTGGCGCTTCCTTTTTTCTTGATATCTTGACAGTGATATCGACAAGATAAAGTTCTATCCAGACGTACGCCGAGGTATTTTTTGTGTTCCAGCATCTAACCACGCCATTCCACCTCCAGTGTCCTTCGGGCATGCTTGTTTCTAAGGTGGAAAGCACACACCTGGGTTTTTGTAGGATTGGGTTTCAGATGGTTTTCGTCACAGTATAGTGCTAAGTCTTCTAGGACATCTGTCAGTTTTATTTAGACTTTATTGAAGGTACTTCCCTGAGCTGCCACAGCTGTATCAGCTGCCTTGTTTGTTAGTTTTTGAGTTGGTCGTTGGTGTAAATGTTGTATAGCAATTGCGCGAGGACAGTTCTCTGTGGGAGTCCATTTTTTTTATCTCTCCACCGACTGTTCTTGGACTAAAGCGTTACGTAGAAGCGTCTATTGTGGAGAAGACATTTAAATAACCTTGTTAGTCGAAAATCCTTTATAATTGCGTAGTGTTTTACCAGCAGCCGTTGATGGTTAACTGTGTCATAGGCGGCAATCAGGTCTATGAACGCTACTCCTGTTATTTCTCTCCGTTCAAACCAATCTTCAATATGTTGGGTGAGATTAAGTGTTTGACTGCAGCAGCATTTTCCGGGTCTAAACCCTGCTTGTCCAGGAATAATTTTAGTGTAAACAGATTCAGCGATCCGGTTCAGTATCATTCTTTGGAACGTCTTGAAAAGGTGATACAAAAGAGAGACACGTCTAAAACTCTCTTTGTATCTGTCGGATCCTTTCCTGGTTTTAAGAGGGCCATCACTCTGGCTTTCCTCCAGATTTTGGGATTTGGAATGTACGGACGCAACAGTTCATCATTTTTACGAGCCACTCTAGGGTTTTTGGTCCAAAGTGCTTTATTTGCTCTGTGTGTATATCGCCTAGGCCAGCCGCTTTATTATCTTTCATTTGGTGGATCGCACCTCTCATCTCCTCCAGACAAAAGGAGGTACCTAAAACATCCTGTTCTTCGTCGATATTTAGTTGTACTCTCACTTTGTTCTCCTTGATGTCGTCTTACCATTTGTCAGGAGATAATGGGCTATTTGATCGGATGTGACTTTTGTCAGATTGGGTGCCGGGGTGGCACAATTAATTTCTAAGCCCGTCTGCTGTTTTGTTTCATGTCTAGATTCGTGACCAGCTTGTATCACCTGTCTGTTCTGTTGGCGGATATCGCATGTAGCACTTTCTCCCTGGTCTGTATTGTTGCTTCCGAAAAGGCTTCATATAGATGCTCGTATCTTTTAGATGGGGCTTTAGATTAGTTAATTCATTCAGGAATTCAGGAATCTGCTTATGTATTTCATTGAGGAGTTGATCCACACTTACCTGCTGTCTATTAATCTCCCTGTCGACTTCGCTGTGATGGTATTGCGTCTGGTCTCTGGGATAAGATTGTTTTTTATATTTAGCCGATACTAATCTGCAACTCGTTGTTCAGATACTTTAATTTCTGGGTACTCCCTGCAAAATTTAGCATAGAGACTTTGTCGATACCCGATCGTTTCTTGGCCGAGGTTTCCACCTGGTAATAGAAGTGCAAAATATTTTCATTCATGGACAGTCCCTTCCATACGCTGTCTCGCTCGTTCCGCTTGAGTGAGCGTCGGCTGATGTTTCAGCGCAGCACCTTCAGCGAGTGGAGCTCTTGATATTGTTTGGCTTTCTTGCGGTTGTCGCACTAAAAACACCCTGTATATATATATATATATATATATATATATTGTTATGATATGTAAAATCGAGAAAAATATTGGTTTGATTAAAATATTTCAAAGTTCAAAAACATTAAAATAATTCAGATAAGTAGGATAATAACCAACAAACATTTCGAAGAAAGAAAGTTTTTAAATTTTTGGATTACCTGTATTAAACAAAATGTAAGCTATGCATAAATTATTTCTTTTGTTATACTATACTTGAGTGACCCGCATAATTTTAAGTGAAATCCAAAGAACAATTGAACCGGGTTTTCCAAATACATTAACGCAGCGATTAAAGACAATAGAAGAGGTTTTAGAAAGAGGTTTTTGTTAGTTTTTAAGAATTGTAGAAAAATATTATTTGTAAATAAGTTTTAGGAAATTTTATAATTATAGGTAAAAAGTTGTTTGTTATCGAAATGAAAAAATAGGGAAATTGTGACGAGTTTGATTGGCGGAGATTGAAAGAGGTGGGATAGGTATGTAGGAATGAAAGTTTAGCTAGATTTCGGAGGAGGAAAGATAGTTAGTTGGTTTCCAAGGGTGCAAGGCGAACGGCCGTTGTTCTCGGGTAGTTTCCCAGAGGTAGGAAGCAGTAGCAGTGAAACTTTGTGAGTTTTCGTGTAGTTAGTGTATCTGACAGAAGCTGATCCAGTAAAATATTGTAAGTCATATTTTTCTACTTATATTCCAAGAGTCACTGTTCAGGCCAACGAGAGATTCAGTTTATCGTAAAGAAAAGATATTCCAAGAGTCATTTTTCACTCAGGCCAACGAGAGATTCAGTTTATTGAGAGAAGAAGAAGCTAGCATAATTTGAACGATTCGTGCATTTGAAGGAGATCATTAAGGACGAGATACTTGCAATAATTTATTGTAAGATTGCTGATTACTTAGGGAGCGGCCACGAGTAAATAGTATAGTCTACAAATAACAAGGATTTGGACCACTCATCATCAGAGAGAGATAGTTTTGTTTTCTGCAGTTTTTCTTTCATTGATAACACAATTTTTACACTTAATATAGAAAGTACATAAATATTTTGATTAGGAGATTTAGAGTAATACTTGGATTTTGAGATTTCAACTAATATTGTTTGTACCATTAATTTTGATTGTTCACGTACGTAGAACAAAATTTTGAGAATTATTATATGAGATTTTGTTTATTGAAAACTTTTGAGTGTGAATTATTTCATTATTTTTATTTCAATATATAGTGTTAGATCATATGTGTTTTTTTTATTATTCCGGTATTCTTTGGACCTTACCTTTCACATGTAATAGCATAGATATTGAAGCACGAATTTAACCCTGAGATAAAAGAATTAAAAATTGTGATAGAGTCATAATCATATCATTTAAATAATTTTAATTAATCAAAAAATTAATTAGCTAATTATTGCTTGGCGCACCAAGACTTGAAATATCACAATAATATATATATATATATATATATATATATATATATATATATATATATATATATATATATATATATATATATTTGTACTTATTTTGTTTTTATTCTTTTTAGCAATGTGGTCCCGGCCCACAATGTAGCTCAAACTTCCGACCGATACACCTTACTGATGACGACAGAAGATATATTCTACATCTTCACAACACTCTTAGAAATAAAGTCGCCACTGGACAAGAAAAACGAGGAAATCAACCTCCAGCGTCAAATATGAAGGCTTTGGTAAGTGTCTTTATGGAATTTTTTTTTGTGTTGCTTGTTACTCGAGAAATTTTTCCATTGTAATGGAGGATTTCTAGGTGGGCATGTTTTGTTGCTCTATTCATTTTAGTTTATCATTGGATAAGCAAAAGTTTGTCGCCTATGTAAATCATTTTTAATTTGATTAGTAAATTGTTCCATTATTAGTAAATTCCAAACTGGAATTTAATATATTGTTCAAGCTTTCTGGAAATTCGTAAATATATAATTTATATGGAGATTTAATGCCTGGTTGCACCAATAGATCTTAAGCTCCAGCTTAGCCAAATTCTGCTTATAGCTAGGGCTGTCTTAACTCTCACTTACGTTGCACCATCATTTTCGATTCTAAAATATTCTTTATATTCTTAAAAATAAAAATACAAAATTTGGTTGATCGCCGTCGGACCGTTTGGTCGTGGTCGGTCGATCAGTCTGAGCTGAGGCCTACCTAAGGCACGTCTTAAGCTTAAGATATGTTGGTGCAACCAGGCATAAGTGACTCATGACTTCGGTGTCATAACATTTGTTTGAGTTAGATTTTTTGAGTAATATAATAAATCAATATAAGGTTGAATGTTCGAATAATTAAACTTTGAGGGTATACAGGCAACTATCGAACACGGTGATTAATTTAATCTTGCCCAAGTACTTTCGATCAATAGATCATCTTCAGGGGCATTTCGTCAATTGTGGCCTATCCGACATAGTAGAATGTCATAAATGTAAAATTTGGACATAACAATACAAAATACAATGCACTAAGACAAACAAACACTTTAAAATTTATATGGAGAAGCTACATATTGTATAGAAGTATATCATTCTGTCTCCATTTGTATTGTTATGTCCAAATTTTACATTTATGACATTCTACTATGTCGGATAGGCCACAATTGACGAAATGCCCCTGAAGATGATCTATTGATCGAAAGTACTTGGGCAAGATTAAATTAATCACCGTGTTCGATAGTTGCCTTGTATACCCTCAAAGTTTAATATAATAAATGTTGATTTAAGCCCTTTTCGATTATTTTCTTTAACTACTGAAAATTTCAGTAATTAAAGGGTCTTAAAAACGAAGTAAATAATTGTCTAAACAATTTAATTGATGAATGTGGTTTTCTTCCGGTCGTTCTTCTACCAACAGTTTCTCAAAAACTGGAAAATTGAGGTTGCAAATTATATTTCAAAATCAATAACCTCAATGTATTAAGTACATATTGTTGCAATTTAAACTAAGAATTCTCTCGTTTTAGAGTTACAACAGAGAACTAGAAAACATTGCACAATGTTTGACGAACACATGTAACTTCGCCCACGACAAATGCAGACGCACTGGTAAGTTTCCAATATAATTCAAAATGTTCCAGTGTATTCATTGCTTTATTCTTTGCAGCCCAATGGTCATGGGTAGGACAAAATTTAGGCATAAGATGGACCAAAGGATACGTTGAAAACGTTAGATCGGTTATCACTGATGTAATTAATTCCTGGTATAATGAAGTTAAGGACTTTAGATCTTCGGGTGTTTCACAATATGGATTGTAAGTATCATAGCTTTAACCCATTAACCGCCAAGCAAAGAAATACGGCAATAATATGTAATATATTTTATTAACTATACTACGTTCCACGTTAAGAAAATAACATTGCGGAGATAGGGCCATGTATTTCTTATGGACGATAGAAACGCGGCGTTGCCACGACACACACAAGCACAATAATTAAGGGTTGTATAATTTGTATTTTCGTTTCCACAGACATGAATTAAATTAATGTTTTTTAACGTAATTGACTAAAAGTGCCCATTCGAAACAAGAGATGAAAAGTAGGGAAAATGATTTTAATTAGATAAATAGTATTTACAAAAGATAATTTTATTTTATCTTATTTTAGTTATAGTAACGACAGTTTATTTGTTTTTTCGGTGAGAATTCCATATGCCATGAATCATAGAAATCAGTAGAAAATATTGCTTAATTAAATCATGCATTTTGCCGCCTATTAAAGTTTTAGAAGCAAATAAACGGACCGCTTAGAATGCGTATATCTAACTACTAATTGCAACTTAAAATAATGTGCGTATGTCAGCGATTTTATGTCGTTCTCTGACTAGATAATGATAATAAGGCTTTTATTTATAATAGTTATTCTGACTTTTCAGTTAAATGTTAATTAAAATGAAAATTCAAAAATTAAGCAAAGGGAATATATTGGACATCCGTGCAGAAGAGAGTGTCTGAGAGTTTTGGCAACACTGATCTCCATAAGCGTAATGTTATTTTCTTAACTTGAAATAAAGAATAGAGTAAAATAAACAAATATTCGTACAAAAATTGTTTTACACTTTGATACTGACAGGTGTCACAACAAAAAAATGGTTCGTTTTCGAACCTTTGACGAAACTGAGATAAAAAAATTGAAATATACAAATTTATTTTTTGTGAAAAATTTCAAAACATTTAGAGTGTAAAGGGACTTGGCATTTTTGACAAACAAAAACAGTATGATTAGAACACTGCCTACATCTTCTTCTTGCATATTCTGCATGCTTCATCACTAAATGACATATCTTATCTTTTCGGATTTCATCTGGTAAACTATATTTCGACGGTCTGTCCATGTTTATTGTCAACGGTACAGTTGACTTTCCATCTTCTTCACTTCCATTCTGTTTTGATTCTTCTTGTTCTTCATCTTCCGATTTCATTAGAGAAACAAGAATATATGACCGAAAATCGATTTGGGAAATGGAGCTTTTATTTGCTAATCTGTAAAGTTTCCAGGCATTTACAATGGAACTATCAATTAAGTTTTTAAAAAGTGGCCACCACCATTTCTTTCCTCGTACAGCAATCCTGTAATTCGCAATGCCGTTGTCATGTAAATCAACGCCGCCCATATATCTATTGTATTCTTGGATAATATTCGGCATGGGGACATTTACTTCTTTTCGCTGCTTGCGATCGTACCTCTTTGCAAAGCCTACGGGATGGACTAGGCAGTTATTGGAGATTACTGTTACGACTGAGTTATTATTCCATCTAACTACAGATACTTCAGCTTCTTTGTCAAAAACGAAGTCGAACGACCCTCTATCTTTTTAGCAATAATTTTACATTTTTTCAGTGGACACTTTTCAATCCTGTTTTCTCGCACTGTCTCAGTTGCATAAATTCCCCTTTCTTTCAATATTGTGAACAGCTTATATGATGAAAAGAAATTGTCAAAAATACCCTGTGATTAGAGGGAATTTCTACAACACTTAGTAATTTTAATACTATATCAGCACCCAAGCCTAAATCTGGTTTTGTTATGCTAGCACCACCGTAGGGGAAAAACTGGAATAGGTATCCATCAGATGAACAGAGGCACCATAACTTTTGGGTGTGTCATCTTGAAATTCCTGACCAAACAGATTTTCGAAGTCGACTTTCACCAATGGTTCATTATCGAACCATTATTTTCAAACACGAGATTTGATGACTCAAAAATTTTTTTATTTATATTTTTATAACAATTAACGTACGAATAGGTTAAAAAAATCAATTTTTAATTTATTTGAAAACAAAACCAATAAAATTACTACACTAAAAATAAAGTAGTGTTGAAGCACTGAAAATGTTGCATATTTAGAAAATATTTTTGTAAAGAAAAAATGAGTTTGAAAATAAAATTAAATTAAATTTAGTTACACTTATACCTTCTGGTTGCTCAATAAATGAAAAGAATAAAAAAAATTAACCTATTGGCAATAAAAAATTCTACAAAAAAATTGTGCGTTTTCGCACCATTGGCGGTAAATGGGTTAAGTAGAACCCCATACGGTGGTATTCTTAGCAAAAAAGCTGCACCAATGATAAATGTTTCTCCAAGCGTATTGAACAACTGGATGTAATTACCATTTTTAGATTATGTTTTTGTTGGAAAATATCCAGCTGCTAGTGTTAAGTCATATTTTTTTTGTTTTGACACAGTTTAATGTTTCCCATTGTTGCTTTATCTCGTAGGTGTTTCTACGTATAGAATGTATACTACGTGTATATCTACGTGTATATCTAATTTATCAAAGTTTTGGTATATTTTCTGTTTGAGTTTATTTTTATATCAGCTTCTTTCAGTTTTCTTACATCTAATTGTAGAGTTATTTGGGGTTTTCTAATACGTTTAAGCTTAAGCGTGACATTAGCATTTAGTGGATTATGGTCTGATGTGACATCTGTTCCTGGATATGTTTTAACTGATTTGATGGTGTTACGGTGTCTCTCTTTAATCAATATATAATCGATTTGGTTTCTTACCACTTTTTCTGCTTTATTTACGATGAGTGCCAACGTATTCCTTTTCCTTTAGTGTCGCCTCCACTAATGAAGGTTAGCTATAACCATTGCAAATTCGTCTCTATCTTTTGCTTTTCTTAAGAGTGTCTGTGTGTTTAACCCGGTCCAGTCGCTAAATTTTTTCAGCCAAGATATTTGTCTTCTACCAGGACCCCTTTTTCCTTCGATTTTACCCATGGACGTATAAACACAGATGGACTCAGTTATTTACATAAAATTGTGAAGTCAAAATTATTTGAATAGGTCACATTCTCAGCACCTTCAACTGTTGTCACGTTTTGTTTTAAAATTTCTTATTCGCGAGTCGCTGAAAATATTACTCCGTATTTTATACTCTACAGGTGCTATCAAACCAAAATGTTCCATGTTTGTTTACTTTTTAGAGTAAATGAGGAAAATGTTATTTTTCGATATTTTGGCTGTCTTTTGAGTGATATTTGTGAAAAGTAAAATAAAATAAACGAAATATTTACATCCCGATCTCTCATTTCATTTGTAAGTACATACAATTTACATTATTTAAGATGAGGAAATGAGGAAGCGTGTTTGTTTACATTTTAATAGGCGTACCATTGGGTTTATTCATGTTCTTTAATGTATTGAATAAGATATGAGTTCATGAAATTAGTAGACATTTATAAATTGTAAGTAGACATCATCTGATTAAAAAAGATCTGTTTAGTACCTTTTTAATTTAATATTTCTCATGGATACAAATAAATTAGTGAAATGAATAAAACTCATTTATTTTTCTATGTAGGTTTCCAAATAATATTGACGATCGAACTATTTGGGTAGCAAATTAAGGAGAAAACATAAAGATTTTTTATTGTAGCATTATTTTGATACTATTAAAAAATTAACTTGAATTCAACTATATTTAATTGTATTAATTTTAAAGCAAATAAAACTGTATTTTAATTTTTCTATAAAGACGTGATTTGTTAATAGTTAAACTCTCGTTTTTTTTTAATTCTTTGAACGTGTTTTTATACATTATTACTACTTCCAATTTTTAAAATCTGAATAATTACCCGCGAGTAAAAATTCAAGCACGCTTATGCTCATTGCGGAAGCATCACATTCTATCGAAGCTTCAAAACATTGTTTGTTAAAGGTAACTTATTGCTGTGTCCATCTATGTTTATACGTCCATGATTTTACCCTTCATAATCAGCTGTAACAACTCGTACTTATCATTTCTAAATATGTGTCCCAAATATGCTGTTTTTCACCTTTTAATGATGGTCAAAAGTTCTCTATCTCTTCCCATTCTGTGCAACACCATTTCAACGTATTAGTAAAAATTAATAATTTAATATTTTGTTTTTAGTAACGCCAGAGTGGGCCACTATACGCAACAAGTATGGGCAAATACAGACCACATCGGATGTGCTATCACCTTCTTTGTAAATTCTGACGGTTGGAACACCCATCTAATGGCTTGCAATTACGGACCAGGGGGTAACTATCGAGGACAGGCGATTTATCAACAAGGTTCACCGACATCAAACTGCGGAGGACTGCCAGTCAACAGTAGATATCGTGGACTGTGTGGAAATGATTACCTTTAAGTAGAAAATGTAATTTGTTCATTTTTATTTGTTATTGTTAATATAACAAGAGACGTCTATCGTAATTTCGTACTTTTATAACATAAAGCCTTATTAAAATGTTTTAAAAAATTTACGAAGTTTTGTTTGCAAAGCAGTTTCGATGTTTCATTGCAGTTGGTGTTTTTTCTAAGATTTTTGTTTATTGAAAAGAAGAAGGACCAACTTGATTATCTATATACCTGAAAACTGGATAAATATGGCTGCCACGGCAAGTAGAAAATTTAATGTAATTAAGTTAATGGATGCAGACTTTGTTGATCTTTAATTACTAAATCAGTACTTCCGGGAAAATATACCAGGGATACGAGAAATTGCATTATGAAAAGGCAAACCACCCAGACACTCCTTTTTATAAGACAACTTCTTCTTTTGGCATTATAACCCTGGATGGGTCTTTGCCTGTCTGTCTGATGTCCTTCCATTCAGATTTCACTTGGGCCCTTCTCCTCCATTGTCTTATATTCATAGTTTTCAGGTCGTCTTCCACGTCATCTAACCATCTCGTCCTGGGCCTTCCTCTTTTCCGCCTTTCTACCGGCTTGCATTTTAACATCTTCTTTGTCGTATCCGACATGTCATTTCAACAAAAGTTAACAGAAGAAGAACTTTAATACTTTTTATCACAATCAGATAGTGAAGATGAATATATTTCATCGGAAGACGAATATATTCCATCTACAGACGATGAAGATGGGTATGAGTTGGGTAACAAAGTTCCTAGCACCTGGCATGTTCCTATTAAATACGCAGTGAACCTCTTAATAAGCTAGTGCCTATTTTCTTTAATGACATCTTTTTAATTGTTCAATGTTTAACTTACAATATGAGTTTAATATTCCAGCTCAACTCATTGATATAGTAAAAGAAACACTTAAGTACAATTCAAAATTCAAATTCAAAACGCACTAACAAATACAATCCATGTGAGAACGGGACTGTGACAGGGAGATGCCGTATCCTGTATTCTATTCAACATCACATTGGAGCAAATAATTAGAGAGTCAAAAGTCAACAGCAGAAAAACAATAATAACAAAAAGTGTACAAATATTGGCATTTGCAGATGATGTTGATATCATAGCTAGAAGGGAAAGAGAGATGATAGAAGCATTTAATGCGATAGAAATAGCGGCCAAAACAGTGGCCTAAACATTAATGAAATAAAAACACAAAACAAATCGACAGGCCAAAGAAACCTACAGAATCTGACAATAGGAGACTATAACATCGAAAGCAAAAAAAATTTACATATCTAGGTTTACTAGTTACCGCAGATAACAATAACATCACAAGAAAAACCAAATGCAAAATGTACAAAAACCTGATAAAACCAGTCCTTGTATATGGATCAGAGACCAGATCATGGACACTGTTGAAAAGCGATGAGAACCTATTAGGTATGTTTGAATGAAAAATTCTTAGACACATATATAAGAGGGTGAAACAAAATGACATATGGCGCAGAAGATATAATTTTGAACTATACACAGCATACAATGAACCTGAATATTGTTCTGAAGCTATTTTCTTGTGGCATTTTAAATTAATTACTATTTAACTGGGAATAAGCCACAATTAAAGATAAAAAATACGTTTATTGACGTTTCAATTTCCACTTCGGAAATCGTTCTCAAAATACAAACAGTAAATTAAACAAATTTTGTTTTTTGTTACATAGTGAAAAATTCTTCTAATCATTTAATTTTATCTGACTCATTTATATTGACAATTCAGACATACATTATGCATTTTAAAGTAGACGACTTTAAAATGATATTGCCAATATTGTTAAGTTGCGCTCCTGGGACGACTTTACTTATTTCATTCGATTACATGAAATCAACTTTAACTTGAGAATATCCGTCAGAAAAAAAATCATAGCATGTAATTCGTCTTTAAAAAGACAAACACATGACATGATGACAGTAAAATTCTCCTGTTAGTGATTCCATAGTAAATTATGAGGGAAAAACCAGGAAAAAACCTCATAATACTATCCCGACATTGTAAGTATTTGTTCGTGAATTTAGTTTACCTTCAACAAACATCAAAATTCTGATTTTATATGTTACGTTATTTAAAAAACATAAATGATGTATCCTCTATATGTTACTGACTTACTAATACTGATATTTTCTTATTAATAACTTACTCTTTCAATATTTTTCAATATTTCAATATTAAAAATTTTTATAATTCTCAAGTTAAAGTTGATTTCATGTAATCGAATGAACGAATGAATAAAAGTAAAGTCGTCCCATTAAAGCAACTCAACAATATTGGCAATATCATTTTAAAGTCGTCTACTTTAAAATGCATAATGTATGTCTGTCAATATAAATGAGTCAGATAAAATTAAATTATTAGAAGAATTTTTCACTATGTAACAAAAAACAAAATTTGTTTAATTTACTGTTTGTATTTTGAGAACGATTTCCGAAGTGGAAATTGAAACGTCAATAAACGTATTTTTATCTTTAATTGCGGCTTATTCCCAGTTAAATAGTAACTAATTTACAATGCCATAAGAAAATAGCTTCAGAACAAAAACCGTTATAACTCAAAAACAGTTCACAATAGGTATAGGGAAGACAAAAAATGTTCAGAATAACGAGAATATTTCTAAAATTAAAAAATATATTCCAATTTTCATGATCTGTAGTTCTCGAGATATTTCTAATTGGCCGTTTATCTGCCGCATCCTGTATAATATGTTGCATACTGCAACAATTCCAATTTTATTCATACTTACTGTATCTTTGGGTAAATATCGCATCTACCTCTGGAAAGCACCATACTAAGAAAAAAAAAAGTAAGCACCATACCATACTCTTAGGTAGAATGTATGAAAACATTAATTGTAGGGTACATATTGGCCTTTCGTCGATTGCAGTTTCAAAATAAAACAAAAATTGGAATATATAAGTAAACCTTTATTGAAATTTTTCATGGATTTGTTCATACACATCCAATTTTAAAAGGAAAACATTAAACAAGAACTAAATGAAAATATTTGAAAAATTACAACTAGAATATTAATACTGTATTACATACAAGAAATGCACTTGCTGGAAACTTACAGAAGAGTATAAATAATTATATCATTAATATTATATTATATAGTTTAGAGAGTTTTCAATATGCGAGGGCCACGTAACTAAGAAATTTCTTGGGTTTATTATTACCCCAGCAGACTGGAACTTATTTAATCTTTATTAAATATATCACGAGCATTATAATCAGATAAACTACTATTTTTGAACTTCTACTCTAATAGTAACGTATCTTATGTGATAAGACACGGTCCTGGCAAAGTAGGAACTGTTCCTAACAAGTTGAACGCAACCGTCCACACAAAAAAAAAAACAATTCCTACCCTACCAAGACTGTATAATTGTAAAAATACTGTGTAGCTGTCCACTGAAACAAAATACAACGTAAGATGCAGCTTATGCATCTCTCAGTAAAAGTTTCCTTTTTAAGGCGTTAAATTTCTCTGTTTTGTTCAAATCAAATGGCAAATGACGGATCTATTGTTTTGTGATTACTGCAAATAATGCAGCTACAACCAAACAACTCAAAAGGCAAAACCATGTACAGGGAATGAAGGAAGAATACATAAATTCTTTATAAGTAACTTTAAAGATACAGAAAAAGGACGATGATCAAGAAAAGCTGGAAAGAAAGACGCACAGGTCTCTTCAGGTTGAACTTATTCAAAAAATAGACCATTTAACCACATTGATCGTAACTCTGCGGGTAGAAGAGATTGATACAGAAGTAATTATCCAACAAAGAGAGGAGGAATAGAAACAGGAAGAAATGGGAGAGACGGGAAAGAAGAGACAAAATAAAACGAGAAAAAAGTGACGGAATTTCTTACACTGTCGAAAATGTTTCGCAGATGAAATCTAACAAAGAGGATTTCCTCAAAAGTATATCAAGATTTCAATGGAGAGAATATGGAAGATATAGGGTAGAAAAGTGGAAGGAGAGACTTTTTCTCTTTGTTTCCGTTTGGTCCCGTGTGTGAAACAATTCTCCCACATAACAAACATAAATGGAGAAAAAAAAAGGTCAGAGGAAGAGAGATAAAGTGAAGGCAAGACAAAGAAATTTCTCACAACTAAGAAGAGATTGCGATAGTATCCTTAACACGGATTTCTCCCACATTAAAAAATATAGGAGTAGTGAGAAAACGAAAGGGGAAAGAAATAGATAAAGGGGAGAGAAGAACAGTGGATAAACAGGGAAAAGAGACTTACATCTAGAGAATTCTCTGGCAAACTAAAGAGACTTCAAAAGACCATTGGATAAAGAACAGTGATTGATGATTGGATGTGGAACGAAGGTATAGCAGATAAATTTTGCCGCTCCATGAGAAATAAACGTTGAACATTACAAGCTATTCAAAATTAAGACCTTTTATGGTTATTCTCTCTCTTTGTAATCGTCATTTCCAACGTCTCGAGAGATTTCTCCCAAATTTGGAAAGAGTCGGGAAACGACCAACAAAGAGATAAATGAGATAAAAAATTAGGGGTGTGGTGAGTGGGGAAGAAGTAGATCAATGGGAGAAAATAGCGGAGGAGATAGATGAGGAGAAAGTGGGGAACAGAGATACAAATAAAGAAAAAAAATGAGTGATGATAGGGGAAGCGCAAGACAAAGAAAGACAGTGTCTCACAAAGAGAAAAATTTCTCACAAATAAAAAGAGACTACAACAGTATTTTTAGAAAAAATTTGCACAGACTGTGAAAGGTCTCACGAGGAGTGAATTCTATCCCATAGAAAGACAAGGGGTAATGAAAAAAGGCGAGATCAAAGAAAAAAGGTGAGGATTCAATAAGAACGAGGATATAGCAGAAACATTTCGCAGCTTCAGAAGAATCGACAGTTTTTTTTTAAGTTATTTCTCACGTGTGGGAGAATTCTCCCACATGGCGTAAAGAGAGGGGAATGAAGAGCGGGAAAGAGATAAATTGGAAGAAAAATATTTGGGAGGGAAGAGATATACATGAAAAAGAGGAGCGAAGACCAGGAAAGAGAAACGGGATCTCACACA